AAATACATACATGAGGGAATGGAGTCGCTCCATGCACCATTTTCCAGACAAAGTCGGTTGGATGGTCCCACCAAGTAATAACCAGGATCACAAGTATAAAATACCATATTTCCAGCCCAGAACTCATTACCAGTGCGATAGCCATTCAATGGTTTTCCAGGATCGCCACAGGTCATTAGAGCTATAAAAATACGCGGAATTCGGAATTTTATTGTTCACGTTGTGTGGATTGTGGAATTTGTTTTAGGTTTTAGTGAATTGTTGGAATTAGTAAGCATTCTTAATAATAGATAGGTGGGAAATACGGAGGTTTGGATATAGTACCATCGTGGTAACAAGGCTTCATTTATATCATAAAGTCATTCTTATGCCGAAGAAGACTTTGTTAAGTCCTCTTTACAACATAGTCTTAGATATTCAAAATAATTGTTTAATGCCTCCACAACACAGATGTAACCGTGAAGTAGGAATGACTTAGGTATGTTGCATGCTGTGTTAGTATGTAAAAAATATCGTCCCTCAATCGACCTTTACTTACAGACTTGTATTGTAGTTTCGGCCGTTCCATTCTCGTAGTTTCTAAAAAAGCATTTGTATCGTCCTTGGTCTTGAGGCATGAACGAATCAATGACCAACTCGCCTATAGTTTCTTTATTGGTCTGGCGAACTGTAGTGTTTACAGATAAAGSTHGKCCATCTTTGCTCCACTCGATCGTTGGCAGCGGTGATCCAGTAGCCGAACAGTTCAATTTGACGCGGTTTAAGATTTTGGACACGGACACATTATTAGGAGAGGATTGTACGATGGCTGGAGCAACTGGAAACATCATAATTATTGTCAAAATCATCAAGACAAGAGCAAATTGAATTTAAATTAATGTTAGACTGCGTCTCCCTGACGACATTTAGTTAATAAGTTAATAATAGATTTGGTAACAATTTTAATTGATTCGTCAGCAGTTTTATAGTTTGTTCTAGAGATTGAAATATGCCAAGTCATGTACCTGTAGTTGTAAACTACCAGGAAATCAGTTTTAAGTTACCAGTAGCTTTTGATGTCCAGCAATTTTTATACTGTAGTGCTGTAGAGTTAAGATCAATATTGAATTTACAGAATAATTAGAGCGATATGACATAAGCAATGTTTTGCATGCAAATTAGTTTTGTGAGTGTTAGTTAGTATCAAATAATTATTTCGGTTTTGTCTAATTTTGTAAAACGTAAGCAATGTAAAAATAATGGGAGTTAGTTCGTCCAGAGCGTCAACCAAGTATGTAATAATAAACCAGAAAACAACACAAACTAAGAGAAACGTTTTCACTGCCGCGACGGTCCATTGTGGTCCAAGTTATTTCAAATGCACAATTTTGTTATGCTATGATTAGTGAAGATTTCGTTTAGATTAAAACATTTAATTAATCGCTACTTACTGACATAATAAACATTAAGCACTACCATGGCAAACACGTTCCCTTGGTTATTGATTCCCTTGCACATGTATGGTCCCTTGTCCTCTATCTTTGTATTCATGATAACAAGGCTGTTACCAGATTTTACATGGCGTCCTTTTGGCATGGCTTTTGGTGCGCGTGTCCACTCGATCCGCGGAGGAGGAAACCCAAATATATTGCATGTGATGGTTGTGTTCCAGTCTTCATAACCAGCGACGTAATGTGTAGGTAGAACCACGAATCGTGGAGCAACTATTTCAAAAACAACGAAATGTTAATAGTCGTCCAGAAATTCAAATGGTTGTACCGAATAAAATTAGAAGCAAGTCTTGCTCCTCGAGAATCGCTCGCTCAATTTCTTACAAAGATCGATGTCAGAAGGGTTTTGTAAGCCCCTGATGTTTGATTTAAGGAATATAAACCGGATGTCCGTTTTTTATACTCTGATAAAAACATGCTGGATCTAGGGATAACAAAAGAGAACCGTAGAAAACAAAAAAAAATTGAAACTAATGAGCAGTAGTTTTGTCTGATTGACATTACCATTTACAACAAGTTTCATTTTCGCTGTTGCTTGACCGATGAAATTCTTTGCTTTCAATAAGTAAACTCCATGGTCTTCGAACTTGACATTGCTTATTCGTAGAGTGCCAGTGGCAAAGAATCGGTCGTCTACTTTCTTGTTGTCTTTGTACCACGAGATTTTAGGTTTAGGAAAACCAGAGGCTTTGGACGGAATGACCACATTATCGCCTTCTTTGGTRACAAGAAYAGATGGAGGTCTTTTKGTTATTTTTGGAAGAGCTTACAAAAAAGATGAAAAAGTACAGGAGTTTGTATATTTTACATGTATTTACTATTGAATAGTTCGTGTTGATTTAGATTTCGTTCTTGTCAAATACCCACCAAGGGAATGGATAATCGATGAAGCATTTCCAGAGAGCGCTCTTCCTGGCACTCCCCTCGGTCCCTGCGGACCTGGTAGTCCAGGTGGACCTTGTTTTCCAGGAGATCCTCGAAATCCTCGTTTACCACGTCGTCCTCTTTGTCCGCTTGATCCTTTCGGCCCTTGTGGACCCGGTGCTCCAGGCGGACCTTAAATTATCAAATGGAAATTTTCTCTTCACAGATAAAATCAATAAAGAGATTGATGGAATAGTGAAGAAAATTTCATACCTCTGACACAAACTGGTTTACTTGATGGTTTTGACGATTTTAACTATGAGATAAATAGCAGTTCTATTAAT